TGATTTACAGTTAGTTTTATCCTATGAAGGAGTAATCCCCCTTTTCTTTCTTTTTTTTTTTATCTTTAATCTACACTTACATGAAGAATATTATGTTTACTAGGCTCTCCCCTATACCAGGTCCCCCCTATAAACCACTTTACAGTCACTGTCCATCAGCATAGCAAAATGTTGTAGAATCACTACTTGTCTTCTCTGTGTTGTACAGCCCTCCCCTTTCTCCCTACCCCCCATGCATGCTAATCTTAATATCCCCTTTCTTCTTCCCCCCCCTTATCCCTCCCTACCCACTCATCCTCCCCAGTCCCTTTCCCAGGTTGATTATTTAACTCCTACCCTACCTCACACACCAGGTGACAGTAAGGCCAATGTGGGACTTTAAGGGCAAACCTGAATTCTTTTCTCAAGTCTGTCACCAACTTAGGAAATGGCACCAGACTTCATTTCACCTCTCTGTCCTTGCTATTCTGCTATGTCAAAACAGGAGGCTCAATTTGAGGTATTTGCTCTCAGTGAGATGCCATTATAAAGGTACTGGGCTGTGCATTCACTGAAAGGCTGAGAGATAGGAGGGCCTGTAGTGGGAGGCTGGAGGGATAGGATGGGGACTGGAATGATTAACCTTGGGTACCTATCCCATTCATGGTTCTATGCTGGTCATCCCCATTGCCGCCACAATCATCACTATTCTTATTTTGAGCATCTGCCATAAACTAAGTATTACACTAAGTGCTTTACATGTAGTATGCCATCTAATCCTCATCAGCCCATGTCAGGGATTTCCCCAAACCACCCTCACAAGAGTTTCCTTCGAATAATTCATGGGACTAAGCATATAGTGGTACTCATGGATAAGATTTAGTACAGTGGTATACTAAGGATATATAGATTATAAGGGAAAAAGCCACACATGGAGGCTGAAAGTATCCATGTGCAGGTTTCCTAATACTTACTTTTTGAAAGAAGAAATAACAAGAAATTAGAAAATACATTCAGCTGAATGCAAATTAAGACCAAAACTTAGTGGCATATAGTGAAAGCAGTGCTCTGAAAATTATGGCTGCATATGCTTACATTGAAAAAGAAGCTCTCAAATCAGTAACCTAGCTCTATAGAAAACTAAAAAGCAAGCTAAGCCCAAAGCTAGCAGAAGGAAGGAAATAGTAAAGATTAGAGCAGAGGTAAATGAAACAGAGAATAGAAAAACAAGAGAGGAAATCAGCAGAACCAAGTATTGGTTATTTGAAAAGTTTGACAAAACCAACAAACCTTTAGCTAGATTAAGAAAGAAAGAAGTTGCAAATAACTAAAATCAGAAATGAAAATGGGGACATTACTACCAACCTTACAGAGAAAGAAAGGATTATGAACAACTGTATATGAACAAATTAGATAACCTAGCAGAAATGGACAAATTCCTTAAAGCAAATTACCTAAACCAACTCAAGAAGAAATATAAAATCTCTACAGACCTATAATCAGTAAGGAGATTAAATCACAAATTAAAAACTTCCCAACAAAAAAAAGTCCGAAGTCAGATGCTGAATTCTACCAAACATTTTAAGAATTAACACTAATCCTCAAACTTTTTCAAAAAGTTAAAGGAGAGAACACCTACTTACTAACTCATGCTGGGGGCCAGTAGTACCAGGATACCAAAGCCAGATGAGGACATCACATGAAAGAAAATTTCAACCAGTATCTCTTATGAATACACATGCAAAAATCCTCAACAAAATGTTAGCAAATCCAATCCAAAAGTATATTAAAAGCATGATTCACCATAACCCAATGGGATGTATATCAGAGATTCAAGGGTAGTTGAACTTAAGAAAATTATTATATCACATTAAAAGAATAAAGGGAAAGAATTCCTATGTGATTATTTCAGTTCATGCAGAAAATGCATTTGGCAAAATTGAACACCTTTTGTGATAAAATCCCTCAGAAAACTAGAAATCAAGGAAAAATTCCTCAGCCCCAGCAAGAAACAACAAAACAAGATTAACTTTCTGGACACTGACATGATTCCCTTTAGCTTCACCCTGTTATTCTTGGACTCTTGTATGTTTTTAACAGACCCCTAATTGTCTTAAATTCTCTAGCTTGAGTGGTAGTGGACAATTTTATTGTTCTAGATTTCTTGCTGGTCAGTTTAGGTGGATTAATGGCATTTAGTCAGCCTGGCTCTGGGTGGGAAGTCTGACTATGGTCTGTCCTCCAGTGGGCCTGGTGATACTACGTGAGCCATAATCATGGTCACTTTTGTCCAGTGTTGCCTAACACAAATGGAATGTATTTGGTCTAAGCCTAGTCAATATGATTAGAATATCTACTGATCTATGTGATAGCTTATGCTCTTGAGAATTCATTATCTGTGAAAAGTTGGGAGGTGGAGTTGCAGGGGAATGGCTCCACCATGGCACTCCGGAAGTTTTGACAATATCTGTGTAGGCCATACAGTCAAGGGCTTGAACTGCAGCCAATCTGAGTTCTGGTAGAACACATTGTGATCCTCCCAGATCCTCCCTGCCTGTCCCCTGGGGGAAGTAACAATTTCTCATTGCTTCCCAGATTCTGATGATGTATGAGGCCTTCTGCCCCACTCTCCTCAGAAGGTGACACTGCTTAGGGGCAGTCTAAGACTGACCGCTCAGCAAGGGGTATCCACAAATCATGTTGCAGTCATCCAGCCCTGTTTTGTTTCAGTGTCATTGTTTTTGGTGTGTGGGTTATGGACCAAGGGAACTGGCATGTTTGGTTACATTTCCTTTTTTTGTTTATTCAAGTAATAATTCTATGAACCTAAAAATGGCTCTTCACTGGCCAAATTAGTTAGGACTGGCCTTGCAGTGTGTTTGACAGAAAAAACAATGGAAAGAGCAAAACATATGGGTAAATATGATAGACTCTTTCTCTCCTCCTTAGTTTTCTAAAAGTTTTGAACCAAAACGCTGGTCTGAGTCATCAGAGATCCTCCTTCTGGTGGACTGTGACTTAGCAATCAGGCATCTGAGGGCTCCTTGTTCTGAGCTAAACCTCCATCATTTTTTGTATGTTTTGTCACCTCATGCAGTTTCCTCCATCTTGTCCCGAAGAAATTCATGGGAGCAATTTTGTGTGCAGCCTTCCTAGTGACCTTCCCCAGGGCAAGATCACAGCCTATCAGCTTCCCTTTCAAAGATCACAGTCCAGCAGCTTTCCCAGTACCCTCTTAGAAACAAACAAACCTAGTTGCTCATCTGAGGTCTTCTTTGCTCTGGGTGTGTGATTTTTCACAGGTATCGTGTCTTGTAACTTCTCAGTACCCTGGGAGCTATAAGGCATCTGAACCTGTAGAGCTGAATTCCTGTGAAGCAGACATCTCCTACCTTGTTTCCCCCAAGACTGAATATAGAATTGGACATGGACAGACCATACAGAAAACTCTGACCTACAACCTGAAGCAACCAGTCCAGAAAGCCAAAATAAACTGCAGTAAGCAGCCCCATATAGCCAGAATTTGATTAATATGCTCCTCTAACAAATCACGTAAAATGATTTGCTTCTAGTTAGGCCCCCATGCCAACAATCTCCAGTCAGAGCATAGATCTGCCAGTTGCAGGTGATGATGGTTGACCCCCTTGCTATAGCAAGCTCTAAATAAGTGGCCTTTGTTTATTTTCATTTGAATGGTCTTTATTTCCACAACTTTGTTTAAAAGGTTTACTTGCTGACATGCTGTGTGATGTTAGGTAAACCATGTCTGACTTTGGGCCTTACTTCTTAAACTGAAAAACGGTTCAATATTTATTCATTCTTAGTATTCTTTGGCACTTAAAGGAACTGGGCCCTAGAAGGTGCTAGACATTGGACGGCTATTAGAAGCACAAAGACGAACATGTAAAGGACGAAATCTGCTCTCTGGGTATGCAGAACCTAGTAAAGGGACGGCAGATATGTGAACCGGTAAGTCAAGTGAAGTTCTGGGCTACCTTACACGGGATCCATCCCACAAGTGTGTAGCGAGATGAAGGGTGGTCAGCGGGAAGGGGAGGGGGGAAGGGGAGGGCGGGAAAAGATCCCCAGAGAAAGCCTTCCGTGCGCGCCGCGGTGCGGAGCCGCCGGTGTCTCGGAGACCCGGACCCCTCCCCGCCTTCCTCTGTGCCGGGAGGGAAGAGGGGACCACAGAGATGCGGCGCCCTCCACCGTCCTAGAGAAGCCCGCGTGGCCAAGGGCCGCAGCCTCCACCTCCCGGCTGCGGAGCTCTGGCCGCCGGAGGCGGGGAGGCCGGGCGTGAGGCGGGGCCCAGGCCCCGAGCATCCTCCCCCGGCCCCGGGCAGCCCCCGGTCGGGCCCGGCGCGCGCCTGCTTCCCCGGAGGGCGGCCCGGGCTATGGCTGCCGCGGCCCTGCTAAGCAGGGCGCGTTCCGGTCTGGCACTCGAACTGCTCCCGGGGCCGCCCGCGCCGGCCCGGGCGTGCCCGGTGAGTGCGGGGTGGGCGCCACGCACCCGGCTTGGCTCTGCCCCGGGTTTTAGGTCCAGATAAGGGGCCGGGAAATAGGTGTACGGCCCAGAGTGGAGGGCCTCGAGGAACAGGGAGAGGGCACAGTGGATTGGACACCTCCCAGACTCGCGCCGGCAGGGGAAGCACACGTGCGTCTGCACAGGCGTGAACCGAGTGCTAGGTGTTCCCAGAGCACTGGGCGCGGCCACGAGTGCCTAGAATTTCCGTCTCCCTGGTTTTAACAGAGCTGGTTATGTTTGAAGTGGGTCTTGAGATGAACATGAGCTTGCAGTTGCAGGAGGGAGGAACTGGATCTCCAGGCAGATCCAAAGACACAAATCTGGGCATGGAAGGGATTTGGATTCCTAAGAGGTTGGTGACAGGATAGGGAATGAGGGCGGTGGTGCAGGAGATGATCCTTCACAGAGCGCTGGGTCCCAGAATGGTGAGTGGAACTGTCGGCCTGCAGAGCATTTGGACTTTTAGTTAGACAAAAGTGAGCTCCCCAAAGCCTTTGAGCCTCAGAGTGCTGGGGAAGTTGCTGTGGGGACCTAGCTGGGCACGGATGGACGTGAAGTGGCCTAGATGGGGCCCCTTCAAAGTATGGAGATTGTGATCCTGAATGAGGCAGTGGCTGGGAATTACGAGTCTGTGTTCCTTGAGGAAGAGGATGAGAAATGAAAGAAAAGGCAGGAGTTCAGGCTCCCAGGGGTAGAGAAAAGGGGACATGGAGACTGGGATGTGGGGAAGAAAGGGAGGTGGGGTGATCTAGAGGGTGTGTTGGTGTGGGGGAGCTGTCATAGCTGGGATTCGCCCTCCAGTGCAGCCTCCCAACAGCCTGAGTGTTCTGAGGTGCCCTTGGCTACTTTGGCTGGTGGGAGAGGAGAGAGAGGGGCCTACACAGGGGCAGCAGGGGTGGCAGGAGTGAGGATGGAGGGCAGTGTGTGGTAGGTAAGAGCCAGAGAGCCAAAACAGGCCTGAGTTCTGTCTCGGTTCTGTAACTTTAGGAGAAGTTAATCTCTGGGTCTTGGTTTCCTCTTCTAGAAGATGAACTTAATACCCTCCTCACAGGCTGTGAGGCATATGCAAGGCTTGGTAAGCTCCGAAGGAAGACCCATTGTGGAGATGGAATGGTACTTGGAGCACAGATAGTAGTTTCCAGTAGAGGGATGAAAAGGGAAATTTTGCAAACTCATGAAAAAGCTGAGAGGATGTTTGCTGAAGTGGGGATGAAGAGCCATTTGAAAAATTTATGGCTGATTCTGTAAGACCTACCGGCCTTATTCCGGTCTGCGCTTCCCCCCAGTGAGGAGACGAAGGCCATGGCAGATCGATGCAACAAGCAAGAGGTTTATTGTTCCAGCTAGCTGGGGCCCAAGTGTCTGCCCGACACAGCAGGTTTCAACAAGGACCCCGAGCACTCAAAGCCAAGGGTTTATACAGCATTTTCAAAGCACTTTACTCACAGTAATTTTCCACAGCTACACATTATTCTTGCAAGACATACATCCTGGGGTTAAGCAAGGGCAGGATAAGACTACTCCTCAATGGTTAGGGAGGTTCTGCACGATAAGCTTGGTATGTAAGATTAGCTGCCCAAGGTTAGCTGACCAAGGGTCACAGCTGCCCACCACCTGGTGCTCATGATTAACTTGTTTTTCAAGGCCTTACCCAGTCCCAGTTTTTTTCTTTCTAAATAAAATGGCTTCTAGGCCCCTAAGATGGCTACTCTTATGCTAACCTATTCCCATTCTTACAATTCCTTTCATCTTTGTAAGTAGGGGGCAAAAGTCTGCTGAGATTTCCCTTAGGTAATCAAAATCCAGAAACTCAGCTGGCATCCCCTCCAGTACCTCCCACTGCCTGGTGTGCCTCTTATCCAGGCCTGGGTCCTGGGATTGTCCCAGGACATTTAAACACATGTTGTTTCAGGAATCAGTGACCTTCAAGGATGTGGCCATCTACTTCTCTGAGATTGAATGAACCAGCCTGGCCCCTGTTCAGAGGGCCCTATACAGAGATGTGATGCTGGAGAATTATGGGGCTGTGGCTTCCCTGGGTAAGGGCCTTTCCCTCTGGACTCTGCCTCTGCCCTTCAGAGTTGCCTGGCTCCTTCTGCAAAGCCTCAGAAGTCTGATAACCCTCAGCCAAGTGGCAACTTCAGGCTCTTGGATTCTTAATGACCCAGCCCCAGCAGTCGCTAGGAAGTGGAGAATCCTAGTGTCAGTTCAGGCCTCACATCAGACTTCCTTGCCTCGGGATGGGAACTGCCCAACTCCTAACCCCTGTTCTGTGGGTACAGGGGAACCAGAGCAGATATCTGGTGCCCCACCGAGCCCTCAGTTCCCCACCACCTTGGTTTGGGAAACCCGGCCCAATACCAAGCATCCTTATGTAGGTGTCTGAACTTTGTGCTCTGAGAGAGGGAGAAATCAGGAAAGCTCAGTTCCTTAATGAATTAAATAAATCATCTGTTTGCTCGCTCAAACTGTTACTGAGTGCCTCTTACTCTGTCTCCTTCCTGGCCTTTGCAAGCTTCCTGGCCCCTTTCCCTGGGTCTCCTGCCTCTTTCCCTAGACTTCCTTTTCTTGCCCTCCCTAGTTATTTCCCTTCTTTGCCCTCCTGCCCCTGAAGACACAGCCCTGGGATTGCTCTGTGTCACCCCACTCACCTGCCTGTCCCATTTCCTTCTCCTGGAGCAGCATTTCCATTTCCCAAACCGGCTCTGATTTCCCAGCTGGAGTGAGGGGAAGCAGCCTGGTGCTCAGCTCCTCGGGGAGCTCCGCATGGAGAGGGCCCAAGGGGCATCTTCTCCGGTGAGTGAGGGCATGTGTGCCAGTCATCTGGCCAGTTCCTTGTCTTGATCTTTAAAATGTATTAGGTATGTGTTCTCCTAACCTAGTGCTATGAACACCAGTGGTACCCCTCCTTTTCCTCTGTGTTCCCGTGGTTTTTCTTGTTCTCGAGTCCTTGCTTTAATCATCCTGGCTCCTCTGTGTACCATCCTCATTCGCCTACTTTGCCTCCTCCCCATCTCCACTGTTCTTATCATGGCCACCCTTTATTTCCTGACCGAATTTCTGCTCACTTTCTGGTCTGAGGTGGCCTTCCTGCTTCCCCAGCCTGCTTATAGTCTTCCATCAGAAGACTGACTACCTCTGGGGTATCACAGGCCAACATTGTCATTATAAATCAAGAAGTCCCTATAACCCTGAGTCAGATATTCCCATTCAGGGATTTCTGGTGGGGAAACCTCTGGCAGTTTTTTAGATCCAACACAAGGCTTTCCTTCTCCTAATTTACTAGTGAGAATTATGCCTCCTTATTGCCCCTCTTGCCCCATTTTGTGTTCTTCCCACAGGGGTTCTTCTGTGGGCCCAGTGGGGTTTGAGCAGTGCCCCCAACTTTCCCCTTCTCACAGTTCCTTGCTGTGTCAGTCTCCATATTAAGATATTCTTGATTATAAATACCAACCCAGTTCAAACTGGCTTAAACAAAAAAGAGGAATTTGTTGTTTCATGTAACTGGGAAGCCCATTGGTGGAATGCAGGTATGGTTTGTTAGAGTTTTCAGTCTCTGCTTTTTTCTGTCTCTCTGTATGTTGGCTTTGTCTCCAGTCTGGCTCCTGTCATGGTTGTCAGGTGATTGGTAGTTGTAACCAGGGCTCTGCTTTGTTACCTAGGAGGAAAAACAGGGCAGGCCTTCTTTAGGCTTTAACTTTTATGAATCAAAGTCCCAAGAATTGCTATAATGGACCATCTTAAGCATTAGGCCAGCTCTCAATCAATCACTGTGGCCAGGGAAATACTGTGTGCTGTTGTTGTGGCCTGATTGCTGATCCCTGAACTGATCTCATGCAGTGAGTGGGGTGGGTTAACCTGCTTGGCTTAGACCAGTGAGGGCCCACACTAGGAGCTGGATTTGGAATCACTCGCCGCATGGCCACCCCACAGTGCAGGAGGGGTCAAGTGGATGTGGGGAGACAACCACAGAGTCCGCATGCAGGGTCTCCATGCATGCTGTTCCCACCACCCGAAGGAATTTTCCATCTTTGCTTTCTGCAGGAGTCCAACAGCTAAGTCATCCCTTGAGTGAAACTAGCTCTCTGGCCCACAGCAGATCTCCTTGGAGCATGTGTCCTTATGCAAAGTCCACTTTTGTCTTAGAGAACAGAATGCATGGGAGACGCATAGTCATTGGTTTCAGCAACATTCAGAAGGTGTGGAACTGACCTGTTTCTCAGGAGGCTTTGGATGGGAGTTAAAAACATCTTAGCTAAACCTGAGGAAGAGTTTATTAGAATGGACCTTTGTGATTAGAGGTGTCTGTCATTTGAATAAGAAGGGACTCCTGGCCATGGCTGAGTGAGGCCATGAGGCAACCTCTTACGGATGCTGTAGGGAGACCCACCATCGCTCCTTCGTGGAAAGAGAAGGCTGTATATGGGTAGGAAGGAAGGAAAAAGAGGTTGTGGTTTCCCAGCACAGTCCCAGGAATAGCTGTTTGCAATTCCATCCTATCCCGATTCTTTCCTATGTGAACTGGCTTCACCTCCTAGGGGAGGTGCAGAAGAGACCTTAGTCCTTCCTATTTCTTTACATTTTTCAGGTGAGTGATATGTTTTCATATTTTTGGGAACTGATGAAATTAGAGCTTCCCCATGCCTCTGCTTTCTATCCTTTATATTTTTATCCCCATCCAGTTTCAGTTCATCTATGTCACCAGCCTTCCCACCACCTTCATTCTTCCCCTACCACTTCCAAGTCTGCTCCTTTCCTAAAGGGCCCTACTCCAACTGAGCCAGACTTATTTGTATCTTGACCCTGGCAGGATATCCATTTCTAAAGCCTGCTGGGATCCCCCATTTTGAGCAGGTGGAAGAGCCACTGAACCTGAAAATGCAAGGAAAGGGTCCAAGCATAATTTGTACTGGTAAGTGGGAGAGAAATGAGAAATGTTTTCTTGTCTTCCCTTTGTAAAATATTAACATTTCAGTAAAAGATGCTCTAAAAATCCCCAAACCAATTGATCAAGAGGAAACTTAAAACTCTAAGCGTCTAGCTTTCATTTGGACATGCTCAATTAATTAAATTTCGGTGGGTCTTGTGCCTTACTGAACAGACAAGACAGACTATCTATCTGGCTGCCATTCTCAACTAATACTTTGTAAGTAAATGCTGTATTTTACTCATGGTGTTAGTTTCTAGAGATCAAAGAGCAAGTAATATATGGCCCCTAACCCTGGAAGGGCTCACAGTCTGACAGGATGTAATTACAGCAAAATGTGATACTATAACAGAGATGTGAATAAGACACTATGGGAACAAAGAGGAGGCAGTATTTGTCCAACTCTGCCTGAAGTAATTTGGGGAAGCACTTTTTTTTTTGTGGAGGAGGGAAGCACTTTTCATGGTGTACCTGGTGATTGGATTGAATGAGAAGATAACATTTTCATTCAATGTTGAAAAGCATGAGGGAGATTCTTCTTGCTGCTCCCTGCTGTGTGTGACAAGCCCAGGTTCCCCAGATATACCACAAAGGATTCTTTATTTCAGAATAGGTCCTCTTCCCTGAACCCTGGCCCACTCTTCGCATGTTATAAACTGGACCACCTAGAAGAAACTCTGACGTATCTCCCTTAGATTCAACTCAACTATTTCTGGAGTTCCCCTTGTGCTTGGCCTGGTGCTAGGAATCATAGCCCTCAGGGACTCTTTGTCTAGTTTCTGCCTTTTGCTTTTGGTTGCTTTCTGTTTATTAGTCCTGTTTTGTCATTTTCAGGTAGGGCAGGGCCATAGAGACACAGGGGTGGCACTTGGAGAGAAGTGGACGTGTTAATACCACTTGGTGACCATAGTCACTCTGTCATGGGTAATGATGACATTTGCAGCTCTGATTTCTTCTTCCAGAGGGTGTGTTGAAGAATGAAATGGAAGATTTTATTCTGAAGGAGGACATTTTTGAGGAGGTACAGCTATCAAGTGGACCTGGTGGTTTGGCCCACAGGAGTTTTGGTTTGGAAAAACCTGTGAGGAGGAGATAAGTAGGTTCAGGAGATTGCCTTACTATCCTAGTGGGGGAAGTGTGAAGAAAACTAGAAATGATGTTATAGAAGTGATTGTCAAAGATGAGATGATATCAGGAGAAGACAGTTCAGAGAACATTGACCCCCACCTTATTATACATCAGAAAATTCTAAGTGAACAGGTATCCAATATATGTGAAGAATGTGGCATGGGTTTTGATCAAAATGAAGACTTTGATCAACATCAGAGAATTCTAAATGGAGAGAAGGTCTATGGATGTAAGGAATGTGGGAAGACTTTTAATTTTCGCTCACAGTGCATTGCACATCAGAGAATTCACACTGGCGTAAAACCCTATGTATGTCAAGAATGTGCTAAAGCTTTCATTTGGAAGTCAAACCTAATTCGACACCAGAGAATACATACTGGAGAGAAACCCTTTGAATGTAAGGAATGTGGGAAGGGTTTTAGTCAGAACACAAGCCTTACACATCAGTGAATCCACACTGGGGAGAAACCATATATGTGTAAGGAATGTGGAAAATGCTTTACCAGGAACCCAACCCTTCTTCAACATCAGAGAATCCACACAGGTGAAGCCTTATGAATGTAAGGACTGTGAGAAAGGCTTCATGTGGAACTCAGATCTTGCTCAGCACCAGAAGGTCCATACTGGGGAGAAATCTCATGAATGTACTGACTGTAGAAAAAGCTTCATTTGCAAGGCACACCTTATCCGGCATCAGAGAATCCATACAGGGGAAAGACCCTATAAATGTAATGACTGTGGGAAGGTATTCAGTCAGAATTCTGTTTTGATTAAACACCAGAGGTGCCATGCTAGAGAAAAACCCTGTAACTGTCAGACTTCTCACCTTGAACCTTAGAGAGTACTTAGTGGGGATATTTCATTATAATTCTTATGCTACAACACAAAATAAGATGACCTTCCACAATTTGTAACTCTAATAGCCAGTATTATTTTGCCCCTTTTCCTACATAGATAACCAGATAGCCAGACTGGTCCAAAGGTTCAACTGTGTTCATAATGGTGACATTTATTTGAGCACCTACTCTGTGTCAGGTACTATGCTAACCACTCATACACATTCTTTAATTTTCTTAATCCCATTAAGGTAGGCGCTCTTATCCCCATTTTACAAATGAAAATTCTGAGATTGAAAGAGATTATCAAATACTCATTCAGGGTCACCCAGCAAGTAAATTGGTAGAGTTGAGATTAGAACTAAGCCTATCTGATTCCAGAGTCTACTGTTCTTTATTTGTGCATATTTCTGCTTCTGCCTATTTTTATCTGCTCAAATTTCCCTTCCTCATCTAAGACCTAGCTCTTCCACCTGAACAGACCTCTCTTCTACTTGTAATCAGTACCACTCAAGTTGGTATTTAATTATGTGCTTTCTTTTATTTTTTTTAATAGTCTCATGCTGTTAGTCCAGCTACATAACTTTTTGAGGACCAACATTGCATTTCTTTTGGTTTTCAAATTTTGAAACATTTATTTATTTACTTATTTTATTTGCATGACAGGTTTTTTTTGGTATCATTAATATACAATTATATGTGGAACATTGTGGTTGCTAGATTCTCCCCATTATCAAGTACCCACCACATACCCCATTACAGTCACTGTCCATCAGTGTAGTAAGATGCTCTAGAGTCAGTACTTATCTTCTCTGTGCTATACTGCCTTCCCTGTGTCCCCCACTACATTACATGTGCTAATTGTATTGCCCCTTATTCCCCTTCTCCCTCCCTCCCCACCCATCCTCCCCAGTCCCTTTTCCTTTGGTAACTGTTAGTCCTTTCTTCGGTTCTATGAGTTTGCTGCTGTTTTGTTCCTTCAGGTTTTTCTTTGTTCTTATACTCCACAGATGAGTGAGATCATTTGATACTTGTCTTTCTCCACCTGGCTTATTTCACTGAGCATAACACCCTCTAGCTCCATCCATGTTGTTGCAAATGGTAGGATTTGTTTTCTTCTTATGGCTGAATAACATTCCATTGTGTATATGAGCCACATCTTTATCCATTCATTTACTGATGGACACTTAGGTTGCTTCCATTGTAAATAGTGCTGTGATAAACATAGGGGTGCATATGTCTTTTTGAAACTGGGAACTTGTTTTCTTTCGGTAATTTCCTAGGAGTGGAATTCCTGGGTCAAATGGTATTTCTATTTTGAGTTTTTTGAGGAACCTCCATAATACTGCTTTCCACAATGGTTGAACTAGCTTACATTCCCACCAGCAGTGTAGGAGGGTTCCCCTTTCTCCACATCCTCGCCAACATTTGTTGTTGTTTGTCTTTTTGATGCTGGCCATCCTAACTGGTGTGAGGTGATATCTCATTGTGGTTTTAATTTGCATTTCCCTGATAATTAGTGATGTGGAGCATCTTTTCATGTGCCTGTTGGCCATCTGAATTTCTTCTTTGGAGAAGTGTCTGTTCATGTCCTCTGCCCTTTTTTTAATTGGGTTATTTGCTTTTTGGGTGTTGAGGCATTTGAGTTCTTTATATATTTTGGATGTTAATCCCTTGTCAGATATGTCATTTACAAATATATTCTCCCAAACTGTAGGATGCCGTTTTGTTCTTCTGATGGTGTCCTTTGCTATACAGAAGCTTTTTAGCATGGTGTAGTCACATTTGTTTATTTTTTATTTTTTTTCCCTTGCCTGAGGAGATGCATTCAGGAAAAAGTTGCTCATGTTTATATTCAAGAGATTTTTGCCTATGTTTTCTTATAAGAGTTTTATGGTTTCATGACTTACATTCAACTCTTTGATCCATTTTGAGTTTATTTTTGTGTATGGAGTTAGACAGTAATCCAGTTTCATTCTCTTGCATGTAGCTGTCCAGTTTTGCCAACACCAGCTGTTGAAGAAGTTGTCATTTCCCTATTGTATATCCATGGCTCCTTTATTGTATATTAATTGACCATATATGTGTGGGTTTATATGTGGGCTCTCTAGTCTGTTCCATGATTTATGGGTCTGTTCTTGTGCCAGTACCAAATTGTCTTGATTACTGTGGCTTTGTAGCAGAGCTTGAAGTTGGGGAGCGTAATCCCCCTACTTTATTCTTCCTTCTCAGGATTTCTTTGGCTATTTGGGGTCTTTTGTGGTTCCATATGAATTTTAGAACTATTTACTCTAGTTCATTGAAGAATGCTGTTGGTATTTTGATAGGGATTGCATTGAATCCATCAATTGCTTTAGGCAGGATGGCCATTTTGACAATATTAATTCTTCCTATCCATGAGCACAGGATGTGTTTCCATTTATTGATATCTTTAATTTCTCTCATGAGTGTCTTGTAGTTTTCAGAGTATAGGTCTTTCACTTCCTTGGTTAGGTTTATTCCTAGGCATTTTATTCTTTTTAATGCAATTTGAATGGAATTGTTTTCCTGATTTCTCTTTCTGCTAGGTCATTGTTAGTGTATAGGAAAGCAACAGATTTCTGTGTATTAATTCTATATCCTGCAACTTTGCTGAATTCAGATATTATATCTAGTAGTTTTGGAGTGGAGTCTTTAGGGTTTTTTATGTACAATATCATGTCATCTGCAAATAGTGACAGTTTGACTTCTTCCTTACCAATCTGGATGCCTTTTATTTCTTTGTGTTGTCTGATTGCCATGGCTAGGACCTCCAGAACTATGTTGAATAAAAGTGGGGAGAGTGGGCATCCTTGTCTGAAACATTTAGTTTTGACTATATAGAACATGCTCATGATAAAAAAAAAATTGAAATAGTTCAAAAGGGTGTTAGTGAAAAGTAAATTTCCTTTTCATTCCTGTCTCCCAGTCATCCTCAGAGGCAGTTGTTATTACTGGTTGTGTATGTTTCTGGATATATTCTTTCAATATGTATACAAGTGTTTATGAATAGTGCTGCCAGAAGTCTACCTCACTGAAAACCATATTTGATGTATATGACATTGCAATTACTTTGCCAATTCCAGTACCTTCTCTTCTTCAGAAGTTGTGGTCCTCTTTGAGATCACCAGGGTGACTGAAGGAAAGGAGCAGAGTGTAGTCTAGGTTGTGTAATCTTCAGAGACCTGACTGCCCTTGAGTTTTAAGGTGGTACTCTGGGACTAGAAAAATGTAAACCAACTGGGAGATTTTTTTTCATAAGAATCTGTATAGCTACAAAAATCCTTAGTGCACCCCATTCTACATCCTTTCCCAGTCAGTCCCCTCCTCACCATTCTAATAGCCCACATCTAGAAGTGAGCTGTCGGGCCATCTCCAAGGTAGAGAGAAATAGCCACTCTCTGATGCTGGTCACCACTGTGTTAGGTTGCCTCAGTTAGTTAGCAGTTGAAATATATTCCAGAATTTTGGCATCAGAGTCAGAGATGCCCTCCCTGGGTCCAAGATCAAAGAAAACAAATGCTAGAAACATAAAGATGCTACACAGCAAGTAAAGTGGAAAGTAAGGAACTCCAAAATTAACTAACTATACTTGAAATCAGGAGTCTTAAGATAAAATATTAATATTTTAAAAAGGGGATGTAGATTGTTACTACTAACTATGAAGAAATGCAGGATATTAGAAAATAGTATTACTGTCTTAAAGGGTTAGAGAACAAAGGCCCTATTCATAAATGCGGGCCAAAGGAGATGAAACATCCATTCCATATCCTTCACCTTTGAAATCATTTTTCCAACTGCAGTTTGCCTCAGATATTTAGGCATCCCACTTTATAAGCTCTCAGTAAGTTAATGTAATTGTTGACTAAGGTGCAAGGAAGAGAAGCAAGAGGCTTACTTGGACCAAACTTCTTCCTGAAAATTGCAAGCATTTAAATAATTCTGTACTTATTAAATAACCCTGTAATTCTATAGGGTCCCTGATTGTTTAAGCATATGGTCATGTAGTAAGGAGAAATTGGCCTAGCACAGTCCAGCTAGGGTAACCTCTAATAAGCAGTAAAAATTTTGTTTTACACTACATGGGACCAGGAAATGGAAATGAGTGATGTGAACAGGTGTTTTGAGGAAGTTGTTTATTAACAAATCTTACTGAGCACCTACTTGTATGCAAAGCACTATGCCAAATGCTTCATGAACAGCAGTAAGTCAGACCTGCTCCTGGCCTTCCAGAACATTAATCTGGTGGGAGAGACAAACCAAAAAAAAATCAATTAAATGAAATTACTAAAAATTACTAAGTACTATGAAGGAAATGAATGGTAGAGAAAGGGAGAGAGAGAGAATGATGGGGAAGGGCCCTCTATATAAATGGTCAGGGAAGGCCTAGTCTAAGAGGTAATGTTAAAGATGAGTCTGGAAAAAGCCACATGTATGAAGAACAGGAAGAACAGCAGGCAGAGGGAACAGCTGTGCAAATTTCCTGTTGTGTGAAGTGTTTGGCATGTTCAAGAAACCAAAAGGTTTTAACTATAGCATAATCAAGAGGTAACACAATTGGGCTTGTAGGGGGCCAGATCATTCGGTTCCATCCTAAGTGAAAAGAAGCCACAAAGGGTATTCAATGGAGGATTGACATGTTTGATTCATATTTTAAGATAAGTGCTCTGGTTGCTAAGTAGAAAATGGTTTGTAAGGGGTCAAAGTGAAAGGAGAGATTATGTTGGAGACTGTTGTTGTCCAGTTTGAAGGTGACCGTGGCCTAGAGAGGGTGGTGGTAAGAAAAATGAAGAGAGGGAAGCTTTTAAGTTATTTTGGAAATAAAATCAGTGACCTGTTAATGGATTGGATACAGGAGTAATGGACAGGGGGGAAGCAGGGATAGCTTTCTCTTTTTTGGCTTGAGCAGCTGAGTTAGACAGTGGTGCCATTTACTGGAATGGGAATAGGCTTGGGGGTGGTGAGAAATCTAGAACTCTGTTTTGGATTAACATTTGAAATATGTGTGAGATGTGCAAATCAATTTCAAGTTGGTGGTTGTGTATATGGGCTAAAGCTCTGGGCTAGTCATATCTGGAGCTGTGCATTTGGGAGTTATCAAATGAGCAGAAGGATTTAAAGCCATTAAGAAATGAATGAAATCCTCTAGAGTGTACTCTAGCCTACTAGCCACTCTAGAGCTACTAGCCACGTGTGAGTTTTAAAATAAAATTTTAAATTTGGGTCCTTTGGCCAATTTCAAGCACCCAATAGCTGTATGTGGCAGTTGGCTACCATATTGGATGGTGTATACATAGAACATCTTCATTATTGCAGAGAGTTCTATTGGATGGTAATGCCCCTGCAGAGAGTAGAGCAAAATATGAGGACCCAGCATGGAGTCTTATGGAATACCAATTCAGTATCCAGGGAGTTGGACAGATGGAAGTGTCAGGAAAGGATGCTGAAAAAGAGCAGTCA